GACGACGCCGAGGACGACGCCTAGTAAAAAATGAATTTATATTTTACCAGCGAAATTCGCGATTGTCTAGGTCTGTTTGGTGCGCCGATGGCTCTAAAAACATGCTCAAGCTAAATATGCAATGACAGCGTTCAATTCCAAATGGAAATAAGAAAAATCAGCTGTCCTCGTCCACGTTCAGTGACGCAGAATTTGGTCACTTCACGTGTTATTTTGTAGAGGACGGCAGAGAAATGTACAAAGATTTATAAGGCATGTGCACAGCCATTGTTCTGATCATTAAATCTTTTGTTTGGTAACGTTCTCGTTGCCGTTGGCGTCGTGCTTTGCTTAAGGTCTCTAATTGTTTTGCTCATTAAACCTTTTGTTTGGTGACGTTCTCGTTGCCGTTGCCGTCGTGGTTTTCTTAAACTCCCTAATAGTGCTGAGGAGGAGATTCTTGATGAACGTTCTGATGACGAGGAGGATCAGGAAAATTAAGGCATTTTAAATATCAACAGAAATAATCCGTTAAGCTAGATCAAGAAGGTAGCGTTGAGGAAATTGTGAAACCATTACTCCTCCTCGTGAATTATGCTTTCATTTTATGGCAATATTTCTCAATTTCTTATAAATTTTTGGGCTTCTTCAACATAAGGGAGCTTTTCAAAAGTTTTTCTTGATTGCATAATGAAATTTCCTTTTATTTTGTGTAAGGGGTAATTTTTTTCCCTACCGGCAACGATCAATGATCCCATCACATTTTAGAATGTTACGTATTATTAGGCTCCTCAGCTTTGACTGGCTTATCTGAAAGAAATGCAAAAGTTTCGTGATTCGTCAGTTACACCATATTCCATGGCATTTGTCTAATCAAAGTCGATAGGACACGAGGAAGAACTGTTTAGTTCTTTTAGCATAAGTCATTGACCAATCTATAAAGCAAATCAACATTTTGATGTGCAAACTGCTAGAAAATACGAAGTTCAAACCACATTTTTCCTTTCATGTTTCTATCTATTGTTAGACGGCCGCTGACATAAGCCAATCAGATTCCGCGCTTCCCTTGTGGCTAACATCGCTAACATACATACAGATTTGATTTAAGAGAAGCACAAAATATCGTTTCTT